AACAAGAGTCGTGACAACGAACTCATTCTAACAGACAGGCGCCTAAAAATTTGCGAAATTTCAAATTCCCTAAACATTTCAAAGTCGACCGTCCATAGGATAGTGTTTGATGAGTTGCACTATCGAAAGGTCTGTGCTCGATGGGTCCCAAAAGTGTTGACAGCTGACTACAAGACGCAACGTGTTGAAGTGTCGCAGACTTTGTTGAATCGTTGTCGCCAAGCTGCCACAGGAGTCATGAACGCATCTGGAGACCTCCACTATTACGATGGAGCATTCCTGAGAAACACTATTACAGGTGATGAGACTTGGATACACCACATGATCCCTGAGACGAAGAGGAATTCAATGGTTTGGAAGCACACGTCTTCACCTCTCACGAAAAAGTTTAGCCAAAAGTTCAGCCATCGGTGAAGAAACTCATGGCCAAGGTTTTCTGGGATTCTAAGGGTGCTCTGCTTCTTGACATTCTGGAACCAGGACAGACTTTTAATGCTAACAGATACTGCCAGACTCTTGATACGCTGAGAGAAGTTGTGCGCCGAAAAAGACCAGGCCGGTTGTCTAGCAGGGTCATTTTGCAGCATGACAACGACACGCCACACACCGCAAATGCTACGAAAGACTTGATCCAAAGTTTCGGTTCGGAAGTTCTGCCATACCACCCTCACTCTTGACTTGGCCCTGTCAGATTATCACCTTTTTGGACCAATGAAACGCCATATTTCTGGAGAGCGATTCACCGACGACGAAGGCCTCGTGGAAGCCGTGAACGATTGGTTGAAATCCCTTGACGAAGAATTCTTCAGGGAGAGTATCTTCTCCCTGATCCAGCAATGGAAAAATGCGTTCAGCGGGATGGTGATTACATTGAGAAATAAAGCATATTATGTTGAGGTATGATGTGTTACAATTTTATTATAATAGGACAAAAATTTTTGCTTTTATGGACCTTTTCCGATTTTCCGTGGGACAGCCCTCATATTACAGAAGTATGAGGTTAAATGTACCACCACTCCCTTTTTAAAAATTCCAACCCTCTGTTTATTAATTTTGGACA